CATGCCAAACTGTCACATGCTATGTTTCACAGATTGCCATTAAATTTCTCTAACACTTTATATTGTATCATTTATAACCAAAGGCAAAGTTTTAATCTATCGAATGATGTATAATACTACATTATGTTCAATATAAAGTATTGTCAGTTTCATCTTCAGTTTGAAAATCTATCTCATGGTGTTCAGATCAAATATTCAAAGGAATTATTTTAAGCCCATCTTGTTTTATTTAGAAAGTTAGTTAAATTATAATAGGTACAGGACATTGTTTGCTGTGTGTTACTACTCTAGGTTGTTAGGTTATTATTTATTAAGTAAAAATTATTTAGAGTACTAGTGGCATAATTATAAAAAAAGAAAAGAAGGCTTAAATTTCATTGGCAAGTGCCAGCAAAAAAACACGGTCAAATTAAGTAATATATTTCTTGTTTTCCGTGTTATTTTCATAAAAGTAACTAATATGTAAAAATTAGAAACTTATTGGAATAGATACAGTTAGATTAAGTAAGATAATGAAAAATATCAATAATTATTTTTCAAGAGGTGTTCTTGTGAGCCGCTCATGTGTTACATCATTTAATATAGTAACGTGAGCTGTGCTGTGAGCTATGCATTAGCCAAATGCTTTAAAATTTATGTGGTGGGATTATTAATTAACGTGGTTCAAAGAACAATAAACCAATAAAATTTAGTAGAAACAGATGTAGACTGTTACAAGCCTTAAGCTATTTAGGATTAGTAATTGAAGTTTTCTGTGATGATCAGGCAGTCATTCTAGGAAGAAGAAGAAAAAGGTAATTTTTAATTTTTTTATGGTGGTTACAAGGTTGGTCAAATTGACCAAGTCTGTGTAGAGTTAAGATAGAGAAAATAACAGAAAAAATATAAAGGTTTACTTTTAAAAAAAAGTTTATTTATTTAGGAAGTTTTAGAGGTTATGCAAATGAAATTTGAAAATTTTCAGACGAAGGAAAGTATTTTCAATATTTACATTAAAATCACTTTGCACTCATAGCAGTCACATTTAAAACATTAATTATTGCACAGTGGTTTTTGTTGTATTATATTTTCCTAGTGTAAGCACATCTCATCTATCTTGATCCCTACCGGAACAGACAAATTTCTTGATTTAGATGTTCACTTGTCCCTATTTTAATTTTCTGCCATTGATGGAGAAATTGTCAACATAATGTTTACTAGGGGCAAAATATGTCTTCAATGCTCAGCATCCTCATTAACATGATGCTTTCATTTGTATCTATAACAGGTCTGCTAAGACTTATAGTGATCTATATTTTCAAGTTCAACCACTCTTCCAAAACATTTTCCTTTTCTCCTTCTGATTAGAGAGGACAATACTAATTTCTCAATCCTTCATCTCTTTAGACTCTAAACTTTTCAGTACTGTTATCCTTATTTTACCAAAGGAGAAAATTGACAATGTTGATGAGGGAGTGTATTTCTCCTCCAAGGTGTTTCATGAATCTCTGTTCCATATAAAATTGGATGATGACAACAGCTCATCAATGTCAACATTTATTTGCTCTGTTGTGTTGTGGTGTCTTTTTTGCCTGAGTATGTTCATTTCCATGCCTCTAAATTTACCATTGTCAGTTTCACTCAGAAATGTTCTCAACATTTTTCCTTGCTGCCTTCTCACATTGACACACTTTTTCTTCAGTTCATTCACCTTCCTTCCTACTTCAGCAGTCAGATTTTTATTAACTGATGTAATCCTTGCTTTCTATGCATTGTTATCTTTACCTGTGATAGCAGTGTCATGCAGATATATACGAGTTGTAAGAGGAGGTTTCATTGCTTTGTTCCGACCTGCTACCTACCATATTTGTTGAACACCACCATAGGAGAGGTTTCAGTGCTCTGTTCTGGATTGTTACCCACCATAGGAGAGGTTTCAATGTTCTGTTCTGGCTTATTACCTACCACACTTGTTGAGCACCACCATAGAAAGAGGATAAGGTGAAATAAATGACTGAAATAGCATAAGAATCATCATGTTTTGAAAAATAACCAGTTTCATAGAAGTGAGGTCTGCCATGTTGGATTCATAACATCATAAAAGCAGACATCCCGGACTCCCATTAAATCAGGGGTATACATGGGCTGTAATTGTTGATGTGACTCCATCTTGAAAAAATCCTGAGGAATTGCACAGAATCCTGAATTAAGATTCACAATCATACATTTGAGTTTTTTTCTGTGAGAAAAGAAAAGGGAGTTGTTTTTTTAAATTTATGAAAGTATTATCATGTTGTAATGGACTAAACCACAAATAAAGAGCCACTACAACCAGGTTTATATCATAAAAAATGAATTTATTGAATTTTAACAACAACAGAAGTAAAAAATTAGAACACAAAATTTATATCTTCCTAAAACACAGTTATTTGTCTGGCCAATATAACATAAATATCAGAGTTAATACTTCAAAAAATAGAGCAATTAGGAAAAAGAATCAGAAGTAGTAAAACCTAATTCCAAAATACCAATATTCTGTATTTACACAACAACAAAATCATTAACAACATTGAGTAATAACCAACAACACCTGTCAGCACTAATACCTGTCAGCTATCTCTACTGAACGAACTTACTGAGTAATAACAAGCATTAATATCTGTCGGCTATCTCTAGTGAATGAACTTACTGAGTAATAACCAGCATTAACACCTGTCAGCTATCTCTAGTGAATGAACTTACTGAGTAATAACCAGCATTAATATCTGTCAGCTATCTCTAGTGAATGAACTTACTGAGTAATAACCAGCATTAATACCTGTCAGCTATCTCTAGAGAACTAACTTACTGAGTAATAACCAGCATTAATATCTGTCAGCTATCTCTAGTGAATGAACTTACTGAGTAATAACCAGCATTAATATCTGTCAGCTATCTCTAGTGAATGAACTTACTGAGTAATAACCAGCATTAACACCTGTCAGCTATCTCTAGTGAATGAACTTACTGAGTAATAACCAGCATTAATTGCTGGTTATTACTCAGTAAGTTCATTCACTAGAGATAGCTGACAGGTAGTAAGTTAGTTCTCTAGAGATAGCTGACAGGTATTAATGCTGGTTATTACTCAGTAAGTTCATTCACTAGAGATAGCTGACAGGTATTAATGCTGGTTATCATTCATAAGTTCGTTCACTAGAGACAGCTGACAGGTATTAATGCTGGTTATTACTCAGTAAGTTCATTCACTAGAGATAGCTGACAGGTATTAATGCTGGTTATCATTCATAAGTTCGTTCACTAGAGACAGCTGACAGGTACTGTTGGTTATTACTCAGTAAGTTAGTTCTCTAGAGATAGCTGACAGGTGTTAATGAGTAATAACCAACAATACCTGTCAGCTGTCTCTAGTGAACGAACTTATGAATGATAACCAGCACTAATACTAATAGGGTATTGATTCAGTTATTAGAACACTATTACATTTCATCTGACCATAAGTTTACATACTCTTTTGCAACATAAATAATATCTATACATCACTGTTAGAAGAAACCGGTGTCAGTTTTATAATTCATACAAACTTTCAATAAACATGATTAGCTAGAAGGTGAGTTAGCATTTGAATATAATTAAAAATTTACAGCTTAACTCTACAATGAAAGGAATAATAAATGAAAATTTTCAAAATCATAAATAAATAAAAATTGAATTTGCTTCCTCACAATATGATATTTTTTTACATCAAGGAAGCTATCTAAACCTTGTGTGAACAAAAGAAACTTTCTAGAATTAAGTCAGTAAAAGTTCAACACTAAGTAAGAGTAATTTGAAGAAAATTGAAAGGGGTCTGGTTCTTTTCTATATGGCTGAATATCATACCCCCTCCCCCACCTCCTTGAGAAACACTACATGATATATTGTAGTTCAAGGGTTCAAAGTCAAAATGAGCTAAAAAGGACTATTCCAAGAATTTTCAAAAATGTTTTTTTCTTGCATAGTAGAATTATGCAGCTTAATACGTGTGCAATTCATCAGGATTTTATCAAGCCCAAGATTGAGGGGATTGGTGGGAAAATGGAGACACAATCCATGTATACCTTTGATATAAAGGACTTCCAGGATGTCAACCTTTATGATCTCATAAATCCAAAAATGGCAAATTTCAGATCTAATAAACAGTGGTCAAATATTTGTGATGATATGATGATTCTTGAAATAAATATGAGGTTATACCGTTTGGCCATTATTTCACCTTGTGTGTCTGTAGACCCAGTGACAAAGAACTGATATTATTTTGAAATAAATATGAGGTTATGCCATTTTGGCCATTATTTTACCTTGTGTGTCTGTAGATCCAGTGACAAAGAACTGATATTATTTTGAAATAAATATGAGGTTATGCCATTTTGGCCATTATTTCACCTTGTGTGTCTATAATCCCAGTGATAAAGAACTGCTATTATTTTGAAATAAATATGAGGTTATGTCATTTTGGCCATTATTTCACCTTGTGTGTCTTCTGTAAATCCAGTGACAAAGAACTACTGAATTTTATTTTTGGAGGTGAGTCCTAAGCATGAATATGCTGTCCTTAATATGTCCTAAGTCATTTATTCATGAAACTTGGCTACATTTTTCTCTACTTCTGATCAGTCATAAGTAATTATTCAAGCTAGGTTTCAATGTATAATGATACACAGTTTTTGAATTTTTTCCCCAACTATTATTTTTTTCTGTATGCATAATAACTACAAACCCCTCTTCACAGTTCATGTTTTCAAATGGATTGATAAAGAGAGTGGGATTTATGGTTATATTGTCAAGGCATCATTGCACTACCACCAGACCTAGTATGAAAATTTTATGGAATGCTTATTAATTTGAAATTGAGAAATAAACATATAGTAACAAATTTTTAATATGTATGAAACTGCAATGGAAAGTTATAATTTAAGATATCTTGTGTTAAAGTTTATACTTCACTGATAATTTGTTTACCATATATTTTTTTCTTGCAGAGGTCTTTAGAAGACGCTCAGTTAATAGACACAGATGACAGCTCTCAGCTCAATGGAGATGATCCCATGGAAAATGATCTGAATCAGGATACCTTGAAAGAACAGATGAGAGGAAAAATCACCACTCGTGTTAAATCACTGATAGATGAAACAAGAACTCAGAGAAACCGGAAAAAATTTAAGTGTAAAAACTGTGATGCTGCAGTTGGGGGTTCTGGAAAACTGTGCAAGTCATGTTTGAAAGCATCAGAAAATAAAAAAATGGGGAAAGGAAAACAAGAAAAGGTATGGTTTTAGAAAAATATGAAATAACAAATATTATTGTATTTTTGGTCCATAGCTATTCAAATTATTAAGCTTTTAGACCAACAATGCAGTTTTAATTATTCAACAAACAACCATTATGGTATATAATACAGCAGTTGCAGAAATAATGTCAGAAAATGCTCTGATGATAAGCAGTCTGCCAAAAAAAGACAAACAAAAAATGATATGTTGTCAACATTGCTTTCACAAAAGCACCTACTAGTTTGTATCAAAACTAGAAGTATTTCCAAGTACATGTATTCACAGGTGTGTTTTTTGTTGTTGTTTGTTTTAATGTTTGAATTTCAAAAGGAAAAATTCAAAATTCTGTGTAACATAACACACCTGAGCTCTGGTTTTTTCATCTCTTGAATTATAGGTTGCAGTAGTTTCAACCCAATTAGGAAAACAACCTACATAAAATATGATCCACCTAGTCAACTTTACTTGACTGATGGACATGTGTATAACCAATAGAAAGAGGTGTTTTTATGTATCAGACTTATAGGCAGGATGAGTATTTTCGTGATAGCAACCTCTTGTTATGTGATCATAATTTTGCTACGGTGAACAACTAACACAATTTTTTTAACCAACTTATAACTTACTTATAAAGCCAGTTAACTCTCTCAATACGGGCTTGGTCAATTTGACTGACCACGCGACCTCTTTGTACTTGTTTAATGTCTTTATAGATTTAATACTTCTAACTTTCAATATAGTTTGTATATCTTCACAAAATTTGGCAGTCTTTCTGTTAATATTATAAGTCTTTCACATACAAAAAATCTTATTTTTAGTGAAGTATTTTTGATAAAATAAAATAAAGATTTGTCCAAGAACATACTGAGTATTTGTTTTGAATAGACCATTTGCAAAATAATTTTCATGTTAAAATTAAAAGTACTTTTTCTCATTTCAAAAATCTCAAATTTTCTTCGTGTAATCCGTAAAACCTCCTAATTTGACTGACCTCGTAACAGCGAAAAAAATCTAAATTACCCATTTTTTCTTTCTAGAATGACTTCAGATTGCAACATAAAACTACATTTGTTTATCCTAAGTAGTTTTAAGTTCATAACAGTATACATCTATATATAATTAAATTTCATTGTTTTATTGCCCTTTGAACCATGTCTAACTATTATCCATGCCATTACAAATTATAAGTCACTCGGGGAACATGCAGCTCACTTTGCGCTAACAAATTACACTACCCACGAGCTGCTCGAGTGTGTGCCTCGTGAAATATTTTTATTATGGTATTATTATTATTATTACTTAGTTTGCCTAATCTAATCTTAACTAACCTTAAACGATCCCTATTTTTACATTTTAGTTACTTTTATAATTGTACATAAAGAATAAATATGAAAAACAATCTTGTTTTTTCCTTGCTGTCGATTGTCAAAGAAAGTTAACCCTAATTATTATATACTAATGATAGTAATGCACTTAATAATTTTTATTTAATTATATAATACATCAAACAATATAGACTAATAACATGCAAAAAATTCCCTCACCTCAAAATTTTTCTGGCTTTCTTACTCTGCGACAAAGTCATTACAAATTCATTCAAGTTAGTTGTTAACTTTCTCATGGGAATGATGTTAGTACTCTGAGTGAAGTTGACATTTAACCATCCAGTACATAATTTTATACAATATGTCATTTGGTAGATGAAAACCTTGATTTTCTATTGGTTATAGGTGATATATAACTATATGTAAGAGAGAATTATTAACAAGTCCTGAATGAGAGGATGTGACAGGTGAGTGTGGCAGGAGGGGTCTGATTTTCTATTGAATAGCTCTGTAACCAAACAAAATCGAAGACTATAAAAAATATGGTTTTGTCAGAGCAATTACAATTTTATAGTGAGTAATTTACATTTAATTTCATACTTTTCCAAGGTGTGGTGGATAAAATAGAGGAGACAAGATGCCTAGAGAAAATGTTATGTGTGTCACACAATGGAAAATTCAAGATTTTTTTAAATATTGCCTTGTAGAATTAAGAAGTTAAAATATATACTATTAAAATATGAATTATTAGCTCATATTTTATGCTATTCTAATTGGTATAACCTGAACAGAAAGTACTTGAATAAAATTTTTAATGTAAGACACTAAAACCTTGTGTCATGTGCAGTAAAGGATACTATTGGTAATAGGGTTAAATAATTTTTATTTAATTAAATAATGCACCAAAGAACATAGAATATGTACATGCAAAATGCAGACAATTTCTTCTGACAGTCAAAATTTTTCTGGCTTTATAACTATGGACACTGTTAATAAAATATGCTGGCAGTTGATACATGGTGGGAATACATCTGAGAAACAAAAAGTAACTGATGTACAATAAACTTATTAGTTTACATATATTATCAGTAATTATGCAACTTCCATAAACAGAATGATATATCATTATCTTCACATAAATCATTTTGATTTTCTTATAGAATACAAAATACACACTGCATGTATTGTCTAAACCACATTTTAATGATGTTGGTGTTTTTACGACTTCATTTTTAAGTACTGTGGTTTGATGTGATTATAGTATAAATAACTGATAACCTTTTGATAACTATTATAACTTATATGTACATCCCTACTTTGAAGGCTGTTCTTAGAAATATTGTTATACTTGTATATGCTTAAAGTGCAGATATTTTGTGGTTTGTAATTTTCACCTCATTTCCTGTTCTAAGCAATCCTTAGTTGATTCATGTCGAGTTGTGTATGGACTGCTAAATCCGTATTATGCCTATTGAATACTTTGGCCATCCCTACATATGATACTGGTAGGTAGAGAAATTGTAGTTTCTGTACTAGCTCTAACCACAGATACTGAACATCATGTTTGTTTTTCTTTGTCAACAGTGGAGCCAACTGTGAGAGCTTTGCATTTCTTAGGTACAATAAATGTGATGTTGACAAGCTTTCTCATCGAACCTTGATTCTTCCTTCTATATAATTCATTGTACCAATGTGTCTTGAATTGATTACGTTAAGGTGGAAAATGTTGTTGCTGAATGCAGTGTCAAGCTATTTCCAGGTTTGTATATCTTAACAGGAATGGTGGATTTCATGTTGCAGAATTAGGCCCAGATTTATCCTTGGATCTATTCCTTCTTTGTCTGAAGTGGTCTTAAAATATGAAAATGTTTATCATTTCTGTTGTGTCCAAAAAAGTATTCCTAACCCCAGTACTTTGAGTCACCTGTGCATTATTGCCACGTTGTTATTTCCTTTCAGTAAACAGTCACTGCATCAAATACGTGCCGTAATATTTAATCACAATTATTCCAGCTTTAGAGTATATGATAATCATTGGGTAGGCAAATGTTATTACTTAAGAATTTTAACTCTGATTCATTCAGTCTGTTTACTGCAAGAGTACAGTGAAGCCTTATTAACCCTGTGTGAATGGGTGGGAAGTCAAAGAGTGTATGTCACGACCTTTCACAGGGTGCCATTCAACACTGTATGGTATATTTGATGTTAGAATTACCTACTGCTCATTTTACCCTGCATTGCTGATTTAGAAATGATCCATGGTATAGGAGAGTAAATACCAGATATACAGGGATGCCAAAAAAGACATATAGATATGCCTTTCAGAGGTTCTAGAGGTTATGCAAACTACACAATAGAAATAATTTTTTTCTTCACATGAGCATCACTTGCACTCTGAGTTAGACTGATATCATAAATTCATAGGCATATCTTGAGTACAAATACTTTTGTAGCACATGATTTTTTGGATACAACAGACTTGTACATTTTATTAAACACTTGCTATATTTTGTCTAGGTACAAATAGTATTTTCTGATTTACAGTGAACATTTCTTCACAAACACAGGATCAATCCAATGAACTGACCCCATGTATGCTTGGTTAATCCAAACGTTTGTAACTGAAGTAATTTTTCCAGATTATTAATGCATCTGGATAGTTGAATCAGTCACTTAGAATTAAATGGACACTGTTAATAAAATATGCTAGCAGTTGATACATGGTGGGAATACATCTGAGAAACAAAAAGCAATTGATGTACAATAAACTTATTAGTTTACATATATTATCAGTAATTATGCAACTTCCATAAACAGAATGATATATCATTATCTTCACATAAATCATTTTGATTTTCTTATAGAATACAAAATACACACTGCATGTATTGTCTAAACCACATTTTAATGATGTTGGTGTTTTTACGACTTCATTTTTAAGTACTGTGGTTTGATGTGATTATAGTATAAATAACTGATAACCTTTTGATAACTATTATAACTTATATGTACATCCTTACTTTGAAGGCTGTTCTCAGAAATATTGTTATGCTTATATATGCTTAAAGTGCAGATATTTTGTGGTTTGTAATTTTCACCTCATTTCCTGTTCTAAGCAATCCTTAGTTGATTCATGTCGAGTTGTGTATGGACTGCTAAATTATATATCCATAGTAAATGTGTGTTTGTTGTAAGAAACAGCTGTTTGGGTTCATAATGCAAATATATGGAGTATTGATTCAATTTCCCAAAGGTTTGTCAATGTGAAAAATCATCTCTATTATCAGTGATGTAATAAAAGATCTGGCAATATGCCACTTACTATCATGTAAAAATTGCCAACTTTCTTTCAAAGTTTTTTTTCCAGTGCAGTCTTTGAGAAAATTCAGGCTAGAACCATATATGGTACTGTGGAGTTTCCGTAATTTATTATATGTCAGTGGTCCAAAAGGTAGCCTAAATTACGTTCAACATTGTTTGCCACTCTGATGTATACATAATTGCCATTTTTCACTTCAACTTCAAAACAAAGGTGAAAAATATAGGAACGAGCCTTTTTAATTTCAAGTTTTGTAAAAAAAGTCATGAGGTAAGCATGTTTCTGCTCTCTTAAGTAACTACCATGTTCATCTGTTATATTAAAACAAAATATTTGATTTAAGTCAAAGCATT